TTAAAATTTATGTGATGATCAGAATCTAATTTTTTGATAAATTTCATCATGATTTACTATATGTGTATTATTTTTTTTTTTAATATCATGTCAACATAAGCTTCGAAATAAATACTACAATCCAAATATACAATTTTGATAATTTACACTGCCTATCTTAGGATTTTTATTGTAAATTCAAGGTGGTTTACCATATTGAATTATAGCCATTATACTAATCATTTTAATATAGTTATAATTTTGAATTCCTTGAATATTTGAATAGAAGGATTTCCATTTTTTTAATTCTTTTTTTTTTTAACAACAAAAATTTTATTAACTAAAAAACGATACAAAGAAAGGATACAAAATCAGTTGACCTAAACAGCCGAAAAAACTAACCTAAGCAAATAAAGTAAGTAGGTGCGGGGGGGGGAAATCACACCAATAGTGCTAAGAGGCAAATAATAATCCAACCAGCAAAGATAACCAAAACTAACCACCCAGCAGACTCCAAAGAGCAATAAGCACACACACAAAAAGAAAAAGTCCAAAGGCATTACTTCCTTCCACACCTATTAGCACTGCCTCCCCTCTTCCTCCCAAAAGAACGAATAAGAACTTCATCCTCACTCACATAAACATCTTCATCCTCTCCACTAGAAGGAGAATCCACTAAAGTTAACCATTTTGTAGGACGCAAAACAAATTGTTACCATTCATCGCCACGTGATCGAGCATTTTAGCATTAGGCACCACCGAAATAGGAATATTAACAATGTTTGACTTGCTGACCAAATTAAACCAGCATCAGCATGAGTAGCAGAATTATCCACTCCCAAATTAACCGAAGAGCAAAACACCTGAGACCCAGGGGATAAAACCTTAGGGGAGTCAGAAGAAACCGAATGCTCAACAACCATTGAAGGATCAGTAGATCTAGTTAAAACACACGGGACAGCAGCCACATCATTTAAAACAGGAACAGAGTTAACTTCACAACCCAACAGAACACCTTCACTAACAGAATCCCGAACACCCTGAATAACAAGCAAGACCCCAGCTATAGCACCCTCATAAATAACAGAACAATTAATAATAAAAGCATTATCAATAGGTTCAACAGTTTTAACACTAGAAGTCCCAAATTCATCATTAGAAAGGACAACCACATGGCCAGGAGAGACAATACCAAGGCCATTAGAGGCAGCAGGTAATCCATTCATAACATCACCCAAAAAACCGACCTAAGTAACAGGAGGCAAAGCCCCAACCACAGAATCCACCAGAGCTAAATTAGAAATAGGGCTAGCAGTAGTAACACAATTAGTATGAGCGTTAACAGGGACATTAGGAGACAGCCTATGATCACCCGCAACCAAACATGGGATAGTATCAGGCACAAGGCCAACACCCTGAACCGAGACCACATCCCCCAAAGCAGCATCCTCAAAACTATCCACACCAACAACACCAACCTAATTAGGAAAAGAAAGCTTCGACGTGAGAACCGTATTAGGGGCAGAAGAAGAAGAACGACACTCACCTCGCTTGTGCCCAATAGCCTTACAAAGCTCACAGAAATGGGGAAACACCTCCATTTGAATATGTTGAACATAACCCAATTGCTCAGACCCCAACAAAACTTTATCATGGTAGGTTTTAGTTATGTCTAATTCCACCAAAACATGAGCCAAAGAAGGCCGCGAACCAACAAAAGTAGCAGAATCGATTTTAAGGGGGCGACCAAATAAAGAACCAACACATGAAGGATTTTTGGAGTGAAATGGTGAGGCCGAAGATTAGGGAAAGAGACCCATATGGGAATAATCGGAGATTCCACACCGATATCAAGGGTAGGCAACCATACATTAGGAATACTTATTATGAATTTTTTTAAATTCTTTGAATAATCATTAGGATTTTTTTATAACCAAAATTCATTCAATAAAAGGCAGAATACAAACAAACCTAAAAGAGAAAAATAAAATACAAGGCTAAAATCAATAAATGAAAGCAAACAATAGTCGGACCATGAGCTGGCTCGGGCCTTCATACAACCAGCCATAAGTCAGACAAGGACCATCCATAGGAGGCAGCAAGCACAGACCAAGCAGTAACCCACATCCTAAAGAAAGGCCATAAGTTAATACGAGAGAACAAGCCACCAAGGTTTCCAGCAAGCCAGTGCCTTCTACTGGTTGTGCAGAAGCCTGCCTCATCATTGTCCAGACCAGTAAAATAAGGCTCCAAACTGAAATTCATAGCAGTCAGCATAACAAAAAGGTCAGATCGGAGGCTCAAACAACAAACACACATGTCAATTACTTCTTTTTTGACCTCCGCCTACAATGTTTGGCATAATCATGGAATTGATTTTTTTTTTAGCACAACGACTAACACTCAAACTATACTCAAGAAACACATCCTCTTGCTCATCCAAGTCATCTTCAGCATCTCTACAAGAAGAGGAGCAAGACTCATCCAACCAATCAGAATGATTCATAAGGCTAAGAGTGAATTTGGATGCCAAATGATTTTTTGACTCATCAGAAAAGATAAGAGCAATGAGGATATCCAGAAACGACGCATTAAGGATTTGAATTTTCTATTCTTCTAGAAAGATAAACATATACAACTCTATCATTATAACCGAAGTCTATTGCTAAAAATATAAAGAAGACAAAATTTCTCAAATTCTATAGACTTTTTTTTTCTAACTCAGGAGAAGAGTCTAATCACAGATAATATTATTGTGAATATATATTTGTTTTATAATGTTTATGTGAAATTATCTGTGACCCCATTAACTGAAGAAAGTTGTTTCTTCAGGATCATGAATTCAAACCAAATATAACGGTTTAAAGCTCATTACTCTCCAAATGATAGTAATATTAAGTTATTTTATTATTAAATTAATTAAATTTTGTCAGACAGTTATCATGACATGTGGCATCTAGTAAGTATGTGCCATTCATCCAATAATTAGAGACATATTTTGGCTTCGAATTGAAAAATAAAACAATTTTCATATATTCAAAGTGTTAAAAAAAATCACATTTATATACAATTTATTCTTCCAAATATATTTCAATTTATTTGGAAGATGAAAATTTTGCGGTATGAAATTTTTTAAAAAAAATGAGATAAAAATCTCAAATCAATAATTAATTTATAAAATCTTTTGTTTGGCATAAATTATGTGCATTTAATTTTATTCCCATCAAAATAGACTGTTAAATGATTTGAAATCCTCGAACTTTCTAGAAGGCAAACAAAATGCACATAACGATATATTGGTCTCATCCGATTAGCTAAGTTTTAGATATTGAAGGGAGATTTTTCATCTTCTAATAAGGAGAAAATAAGTCTTATCCAAAATTAATAGGCTGTTCCGACCGATTCAATGATCCTATCCATGAAATAAATAATCATAATAAATAAAGACCCTTTTTTTCATTCAAAATTATAGTTACATTGATTTTGATAGAATATATATAATGACTATTGCCATTTTACACTTTAGAGGTTGAGCATAATTATTGTTACGTTTAACGTCTTAGTATTTTTATGAAAATGCAACATACATATAAATTAAATATGATACATTAAATATTAGAGTTTTTTACGTGTAAAAGTTGTAAAACAAAAAAACCATTTGACATGACCCTATTGAAAAGATTTCATCAGTGTATGTCATCGATTATTAATTATGTCATTTCCTATAGTTAAGGAAGATCCCTTAAGACGAAGACAGAAACTAAGAAGTCCGATATTAATCTTGGTGTTGATGTAAGTAGTTAGAGTTGATGCCTACAACATGCATCGTCCTTATAAACAATAATATATGTTAACATTATTAGAGTTAACAAGTGATAAAGCTAGCATGCGTCAACATTAATGTTAATAGCATATGTTGGACTTATATGTCATGGATAGAATCGATGATACAGGCAACAACTGACATTAGTGTAGTCAATGGTAATGATTTGGTATATCCTAAACGCACAATGATAGTTAATTTGATGACTATTGTGGGTCGATAATGATTAGAACACTGTAGTTTAGCAACAGTGGTCAAAGACCATAGTCAGAGGACCATTTGCCTCACCTAGTTGAGGGTTTTACTCCTGCTATCTCTATTAATATTCTAAATTCAATTAGTCAATAATGTATGGTGCTTTAACCTATTATTATTGAACTGATTGAAAGTTATCACCTTATATTTCATAAGAAGAATCCTTTGGGGACAATCATAGCCCTTATGTTGATTATCTTATACATTATTTTACAATTTTTTTGAAATGCGAGTACGCTTCATTGACTGGCAATTCTACGATTATAAGGGTAAGAACTCCTGTGATCCCATGATTTGAAGATTATACAGTATCAAGCTAAGAAGATGAGTATTCAATATGATAACGATTTATAAAATTTTCTAAAGAGATTTTTTTTTATTTACATATCTAAAATGTAAATCTTTATATTTACATATATAGCACTTAAATATACATATCACATAAAAATTAAACAAAATACATGCATATGCTTTAATATAATTTTGACATTAAATTGATCTATAAATAAATATAATGAGTTTAGTTAGATATGTAAACACACAAAAAATTTATGGTATGCATGTTAAATCCCTAATTTTAAATTACATGCTCTCTAAAACATATTTGTATATATTATGGAATATTGATTTTAATGATTAAAAAAATCCTTTAAGCTCGAAAATTTTCTATATGAGTCAACAAATATCTTTTTTAATAAAAGGCTGAATATATTTTTAAGATAAGACGACATAAAAATCATCAAAAAATAAATTAATAAGAAAAAAGAAGGTTGAGATTATTTTATATAATGAAAGACTGAGACTATATATTAGTAAAATATTAACGAGTGATTAAGATTAGTGTAGATAAGCTAATTTATTACCCTAATTTCAAAATTTTAAAACTACGTTTATTTGAAACCACATTATATAACTCCCAGAAAGTGGAGAGAGTGGGTGCTTCGGGGAAAAAAATATAATAATAATAAATAATTAAAAAATAAACATTTATCACGGTTCCGGCGTACCCTCACTCGCGGTAGGCGGTAATGCGAAACGTCCTCCACGCGTACACAGCAATCGTCCTTCCTCTATTTCTTCCAGGATCGTCCCGCTAACGATCGTTGCGATCCACGAGAAGGAGAAGAAGGAGAATCAAAGGTCCTCCTGACGACCGACGCCGTCTCCCCTCCCTCTCCTCATTCAATCCTCCAATTATGAAAACGCCCCCAAATTCATAACAACTACCTCCTCCCCCATTATAAATCCTTCCATTCACAACCCGATCTCTCTTTCCTCAAACCGAACCCAACCAACCCAAACAAATAAAAAATCCGCAGCTTTGCCACAGATATCGATCCGGAGCACTATGGGATCAAGGAAAGGCATCACCTTTTACCTCGCTGAGCACCCTGCAATCGTCGGATTCCGTTGGTCGCCGGAGAAATCATGGGGATCGACTTGGTCGTTTCTTATCTACTCCATCGCCCTCTACTACGCCGCCGCCCTGATCCTTCACCTCCTCCTACACATCTTCCGCCGACGCCGTCCCATCCCCCTCGGCCCCATCCCCGCTCTTCACTCCCTTGCCGTGGCCCTCACCTCCGCCACCATCTTCCTGGGGATCCTCCTCTCTTCCCTCGCAGAGATCCGCGATACGCGCTGGTTCTGGCGACGAACTCAGACCGCCACCCCGCTGCACTGGTTCCTCTGTTTCCCTATCGGCACTCGCCCTTCAGGCCGCGTTTTCTTCTGGTCTTATGTTTTTTATCTCTCGCGTTTCTTGCATTTAATGCGCAGCTTCTTCTCAATCCTCCGAAGACGACCAAACGCGTTCTCTCGTCTATTTGCACATTCTGCGCTGCTCTGTATGTCATTCCTCTGGCTTGAATTCTCGCAGAGTTTTCAAGTTCTGGCGATCCTGTCTTCCACGCTCGCCCATGTGGTTGTCTTTGGTTACCGATTTTGGGTCGGAGTAGGGCTGCCGGCGGCGGATGGGGCGGGGTTTGTGGTGGTTCTCGGCTGTCAGCTGGCGGTGCTCTGCTGCAACCTGGTCTGCCATTTTGGGGTGATTCTATTGCATTTTGGAAGGGGAGGGTGCAGTGGAATTGGGGCGTGGTTGTTCAATTCGGTTCTTAACACGGGTTTGCTGTTTGTGTTTTTGAATTTTTATTTTCTGAAGAAAGGGATTGAGGAGGAAGATTTCGGCAACGGCCGGCAAGTAAAGAAGTTGATCACGGCGTCGGAGGAGCCGCCACCGGCGGTGGAGAAGAAGGACCAGTGAATTATGCGGAAGGTAGAGGAGATCGAATTCTGGATACGTTGATTGGTAGAAAAAAAAAAAGTTTTTTTTTTTTTTGGATCAATTGATTTTACAAAGGAACATATAGTAATTGTATACATTGTGGATGTAATCGTCATGTGATTTTGAGATTAAGGGGAAGAAAACAAAGGTCCCATTTTGTATAGAATAAAATGTGTTTTTGGTAGTTATATATCTCTATGTAAAAAAATTTGTGAATTATTATGAAAAAAAAAACTGTTTAAAAGATATTATAAGCATTATAATTTTTTTAAAGATGATAGATATTTTTTTAATTATCAATTTCTATTACTTTTACATCATTTTTTATTATGCCATAAAAACGTGTGAAGGGCCCATCAAATTAACATCGAATTTAACAGAATAAATAAAATTATTTTTTTAACATTAAAATCAGAATAACATTATAATAATAGACCAAACAAAAATACAAACTTAAGAATATATATATATTTAAGATTTTTTTAAAGATATTTAAGTCAATTAAAACAAATCAATCAAGATTAGCTACATTTACTATTTAAGAATAAGAATTGATGTCTTGAATTAGTTTAATATTTGTAAAAAATATTCAAATAAATAAATTAATAAGTGTGTAAAATATTACTCTTTGTAAATATAATTTCACTGGAAATAATTCATAACATGCATAGAGACCGTAGGAAAGAACAGGACAAGGGCAGTTTTAAAACAAAAGATCTCTGCTGCTTTCTGAATTAAATGAGCGCCTAGTATTCTGGAACAGAGTCATTTTGGGACTTGCTGATGGCTTTCGAGAAAATAAAAATCTGAAGCAAACAAACAATTGCGACAAACAAATCTGCAGTTCTTGCACTCGCAATCAAAGCTCAAAGCCAAGAATTTGAACTCTCTTTCAGTAAAATAAAAACTTGATTACTATATATTTATTTACATAACATTCAGTTCAGAATAACTTAATATTAATGGCATTTACGATATCATTTAAATATTAAAACATTATATAAATAAATATAAACTTTTATATAAAAATATAAATAATTAATATTTAAAATTTTAATATTATAACTCATTTTGTCAAATAAAAGGAATTTGTTTTTCTTATTTGCGTGTGAGTACGGTAACAATGAAGAGTATCTGTGTGCTTCCCTGCCAGTATAAGGTAATTAAATTAAATAATAATTATAAGAGGTCTCCAATTGACTTCGTAATCGCTTACGGCAGATCTTTTAGACCAGAAAGCAGGAGCTTGTCCCCTGTTGCCTTTCTTAATTAATTAATTAATTATTTATATATTTATTTTTACTCCTTCCTTTATTCTTATCCGCGCTACATCTTAAGATTAAAGGAGAGGTGGCCAAGGAAGAATGAAAAGATCAATATTTGGAATACAGTTAATTAGCCAAGGCCTAATTTATGCATTTTAATAAGCCTCATTGGTAAAAAAAAAAAAGAGTATAATATTTATTTTCATGTATTTTAATTTTTTATGATTGATTTAAAACAAAAGAAATATAATATAAAATTAAAAAAATATATAAAAATAAAAATATCTCAACACCCTTTTTTTCTCTATATTTGAAAAGCATCAACTGGACTCAATTTTATTTAAATTTAAATATTTTTTATCCAGCCAAAATTAAATTATATATTTAAAATATATTAAAAACTTCCACCAAAATACAGATTGTGTGAAATAAGGAGCACCACAGAATGAACGATTGATGTTGAAGGGTCGAAGTCACCAACTTAAGAGGCCAGACAACCGAACTAATAGTTGGTGAATTTAATCAATTAGAAGGAAAGGGGCCTCAAATGCTTTGATGGAGCAATGGAAGTACAGATCATTTAAGAAATCTACAAACACAGCTTTGAATTTGCAACTAAAACTGTATTAGCTAAACCTATATTTATTATTATTAAAACCAACTAAGAATTCCACCGAAATTATAGAACAGCAAGTACATATTTTGTCTATTGAATCCAAACTCCAGCCAAAAACAAGCATAATCAATGATATTCTCATCATCTCTAATGTAGGAAGGAACGGTGCGGTTCATGCCTTCTTCACGAGAGATTATTACGTGTGAATTTCAGATATAGAGAACAAATTGATTTTGTGACTGTGAACAGAAAAAGCATTAAATAATAAAAATATATGAATATTTTTATTATTCACCGTCACAAAATCAAACGATTTTAAATTTGAACTCAACACATATTAATCTCTCCGGATAAAAAAATAGGTGGAGCAGGCACTAAAGAAAAGTAATATAAGAGTCCGCTAGATTCATCGTATGTGTACGAGATTCTTTTCTTTTCAATCAGGTTTTCAAGATGTAATGATTTTAGCTCAATATAAAATTGAGAACACCTGGCATGATGTAACTTATGCTAAAATTGATTTGCATCAGGACCTCCTAAGAGAATTTTGATTGTTTTTTTGCCCTTTTCCACAGGGCAGGCCACAGTGCGTTTTCAGACACGAATTATATATTTTACAATTGTTAAATTCATAGAATTTGGAGAGGAAAAAGGCCTAGCTTTATTGCACAAATCTATCCCTTATTTTTTTATTTTTTATTTATTTATCCCTTGTTTATAGATCTGTACATAATATCTTAATAAAGAAATAAATAACTATATAACCATGTAATATTGCCATACTAGAATCCTTTCTAAATCAGCTACTCAAATATAGAAAGAGATTGACGTGATCCAAGTGAGCCTGCCACAGATCCCCATGCTGACCATGGTGGGATCAAAGGCTAAGGGTCGGTTGAAATTTAATTGTGTGATCCATATGAGCCTCTCACAGATTCTCATGCTACCTATGGGATCAAGGGCTAAGTGACAATATGGATTTTAACACTCCCCCTCAAGGTAGAAAATACATATATGTCATTCTCAACTTGGTAATTAGTTCCAGAAAAATAGAGTTATCAAATCCCCCAGTGCATCATAGAGTCCTCCATTTGATCAAAAGCTTTGGGAGGAATTAACTTCAAACATTATTGTGGCAAATGATAAAGATAAAGGCTATTTCAATCAAGCGCGCAAGGTGCAGGGAAACAATGAAGACTACATTGAATAGTAGCCCTCAAGATACTGAAAATGGCAATAAAGGTCAGTGGCGGGATAGCATGGAAAGTGGATTAATTATCATTTGATTCTATCACCCTCTCGGATATCTCGGATATCAAGGGAAGGCCGACAATGAAGGCATAACAGTAGAAATAAGAAATATATGTTTTTAGGGTTGCGGCAAGTTACAGGGATAGCAACAAAAAAAAAAACATATCTCAAGCGACTCAGCATTCAGCACGCAAATCTCCTCCCATCAGATCAAGCCAGCTTTTGGCCTAATACAAATTAGTCGTCCGACTCCACCTGAACAGACTCTTGTTCGATCTACCCCGGGGAGTGAAGACAAAGTTTCTAGTCACACGTAGAAAACGGATTGCTCGGCTTGACACTAGAGCACGCAGAAGTCACAGGCGTAGGTTCCTTACATGATCATTCCACTCGATCGACTCTCAAGTCACACGAACTTCTTGGTTCACTTGGCTTCACGTGCACAATGAGTCGCTTGATCCTTCTTGCTCCCTCACTCGATTCTCTTCTTCACTTAGTTCGGCCACCAGGCACACACAATAGACTCTCGTCTCTGCTTCTCCTAGCCACATGCATGAAAAAGAGGGCACGGACAGTTTGGACCGCTCGACTCTCATTCGATCTCCAACGGCAATGAAGGTCGCTTGCTCCTCTCCGCTTCATTCGATTCGTATATCCCAGTGATTCCGTCAATGAAGGTCGATGGAAGGACTAGTATTCCTCATAATTCCCGCATGAGGACAGGTAGAAGAACAATTATTCCTTGGAGTTCTGACAATGAAGGCTGGTGGAAGTACCACTACTCCTCAAAATTCTTGCAATGAAGGCCAATGGCAGGAACATATATTTCTCAGAATTCCGACAAAGAAGGCCAGTTGTAGGATGCATTCCTTATATTTCCGGCAATGAAGGTCAGTTGCTCCTCTTCGCTTCCTTCGATTCGAGGCTCTAATACCATGTTAAATTCAAAGAATTTGGAGAGAGAAAAGGCTTAGCTTTATTGCACAAATCTATCCCTATTTATAGACTTGTACATGATATCTTAATTAAGAAACAAACAATTATAGAATCATGCATAATTGCCCTACTAAAGTCCTTCCTAAATCAACCACTCATATAAAAGGAGATTGGCATGATCCAGGTGAGCCTCCCACGGATCCCTATGCTGGCCGTGGTGGTATCAAGGGCTAAGGAACGGTTGAGATTTAACTGTGTGATCCAGATGAGCCTCCCACAGATTCTCATGTTGGCCGTGGGATCAAGGACTAAGTGACGATTTGGATTTTAACAGCAATACAAATATTCTTTGCAAGGTCTAGCCATATCCAAAATAGTTTAGGAACATGAAGAATATTTGACAAAGGATCAATTAGAGCAACTAATTACCCTTCCAACATTCTGGTTGCTTTGCTTCCCAGACAGCAATCAGAATTTTGTTTGTACCATTTTCTTGTTTTTTTTCTTACTTTTTTAAAAAAATTATGATGAAAAGTTGTTTTCTATAACTACTATACCATAGTAGTGATGTTACTTTCTCTACAACTTCACAAGTAATTTTATAAAATATTAGTCATCTCAAACAAACCCTCATAGGCTTATATTTAACAGTCCATCCACCCTAAATCTAGACTCTGAGAACCAATATAGAAAAAAAAACTATACTCTGAGAGCCTGTATAATGAAGGTACATCACTCAATTATCAACCGTGGATTTAAAAATTGACAACTGCTATCTCATGTTCGGATACTAAATTGTGTGTTTTCATTCATGGCATCAACTAGTTATATTAGAGAACTTTTGGCTTATTAATATTTTGTTCATACTTAGAAGGATTGTAGTATGCTAATTTTATTTTAGTCCAATATAAGAGCAATCAGCAATTTATGAGGAAATCATTTGTGAGGCCTATATTTTCACTGCTCTCTCCCCTTCCTCCTCTCCTATAGAGTCCAATGTTGGGCATTTAGTTCAAAATTTATGTAAGTTTTAATATATATAGCGTGAGGCGTAAGCCTCATGCCAGTGAGACAAGGCGGGCCTCAACCAAGTTGAGGCGCAAGCCTCATAAAAAAAAACTCGAGGCGTAAGCATCGAGGCGTTTTTTACTGGAATTGCGCAAAGG